AAAGAAAGAAAGAAAGAAAGAAAGAAAGAAAGAAAGAAAGAAAGAAAAAGTAATTTGAATTTGATGATAAAATAACTGAATATTAAAAATCCAAATACGTGCTGGGCAGTGGTGGCACACGTCTTTAATCCCAGTACTTGAGAGGCAGAGGCAGGCAGATATCTGTGAGTTATAGGCCAGTCTGGTCTAGACAGTGAGTTCTAGGACAGCCCTGGCTACACAGAGAGACCCTGACTCAAAAAACAAAAATTAAAACAAAAAGTGCCAAAAAGTTTTATAAACACTAATACTACATTTGCACCAACATGAATACCACATGTGGGTACCAAAATTCTGCAGAGAAAGAAAAGTATCTTAGTAAGTACCTTTTTACTGTTACTAGGTCTGGGGCGGGTGTAAATAAAGAATTGGTTTTTGGAAAAGAAGGAAGTCATCAGACAGGGACAAAGAGGGTGACAGGGAAATGGGAGCAAAAGATTATGGTGATTAGCATTAACTAACTGCAACTTTTCTTTGGCTTGCAGCCTTATTTCTTCTTTTGCTATGATAAAACACACTTAGAGTAATGTCAGGAGACACTGTTAACTACTGCTCATGATACACGGGCAATAATTTTATTAGTGACTTTTCTGTTTTGATTAAACATCATGACCAAGGCAACTTAGAGGAATGACATCACTTTACTTTATGGTACGGAAGGGATCAAAGTTCACGATGGAGGGAGGGCATGAGAGCAAGCTACGTGGTGGCCGAAGCAGGAAGCTGAAAGCTCACATCCTCAATGGCAAGCAGAATGCAGAGAGAGCAAACTGGATGTAGAGGGAGCTTTTAATTCTCAAAGTTCACCTCCAGTGGTCTACTACTCCTAAGCCTCCCCGGGGCCACCAACTTGGGGAACAAATGTTAAATGCCTAAGACTACAGGACACATTTCTCTTTCAAACCATGACACTGTGAATCATGGTGAGACAGTTAGGTCAGCAGTCGCTGCAGCGGCTGCTCAGGTCGTCACACAGTCAGGAAGCAGAGGAAGAGAGGCGAGCAGTTGTTCTCAGTTCGCTTTCTCTTTTTATACAATCCAGGATCCTAGTCCAAAAAAGATGGCTCCCCCCACGATCAACAGGTCTGACCACAACCTAAAACAGAAACGCACAACTTGAACTTTGCCAAGACTGATCAGAATCAGGGATGGATGAGTTAAAAATGAATTTCCAAATTCTCCACACTTGTAAAGTTTCTCTGCAGAATAAATACTCTCTTAGACAATACCTTGTCACATTCTTCATTCACACTTGAAGGGAATCTCTTGAGCCCTTTGGTGGTTCTTAAAGTCTGAAGTACAGTAAGACATCTTGCCACATTCTTCACACCTGTATGGTTTCTCTACAGTAGGAAGTGTTTTGTGTTTAATAAAGACTTAAAGGTTAATAAAGGTCAGATTTCTCCTCAAAATGACTTTTTTTTGGTTTTTAAACACTGAAGTACAGTAAAGTTTTGACACATTATTTACATCTGTGGGGTTTCTCTCCAGTGTGAATTTACTGGTGTTTGCTAAGTCTTCAACAAGTATAAAATACTTCTCCACATTCTTCCCATTTGTAAGGTTTCTCTTCAGTATGGAGTAATTTGTGCAGAGTAAGGTATGAATGAGTAGAGAAACCTTTGCCACACTCTTCACATTTGTAGGGCTTCTCTCCAGTATGAATTCTCTGGTGTTTAGAACGTCCTGAGCGAGTACAAAAGACCTTTCCACATACTTCACACTTGTAGGGATTTTGAGAATGAATTCTTTGATGTTCCTTAAGGAGTGAAGGGTAGCTATATGATTTCCCGCACTCTTCACATTTGTAGGGTTTCTCTCCAGAGTGACCAAGTCTGTGCCGCATGAGATACGAATGAGTAGAAAAGGCCTTTCCACACTCCTCACAACTGTAGAGTTTCACCTCGGCGTGGATTCTCTGGTGTTTAGAAAGTTCTGAGCGAGTTCTAAACATACTGCCACATATTTCACAGCTGTAGGGCTTCACGCCGGAGTGAATTCTTTGATGCTCCTTAAGGATCGAAGGATAACAAAATGTTTTGCCACATTCTTCACACTTGTATGGCTTTTCTCTCGAATGGCCTAATTTGTGCCGAATGAGATATGAGTGAGTAGAGAAAGCTTTTCCGCATTCCTCGCAACTGTAGAGCTTCACTTCTGCGTGGATCCTCTGGTGCTTAGAAAGATCTGAGCTCGTTCTGAACATGCTGCCACAGACTTCACACTTGAAGGGTTTCACTCCAGAATGAATAATTTGGTGTCCCTTCAGGTTTGAACGGTAGTAAAACGTCTTCCCACACTCTTCACACTGGTAGGGTTTCTCTCCGGTGTGAATTCTTTGGTGTTGGTGAAAGTATGTGGACCTACGAAAGGCTTTGCCGCATTCATTGCAACGGTATGGTTTCTCTCCAGAGTGAATTCTTTGATGCTGCTTTAGGGTTGAGGGGTAGGAAAAGGCTTTGCCGCATTCTTCACACCTGTAAGGATTTTCTGCAGAGTGAATTCTCTGATGTTGTTTAAGGAATGAAGGTAAATAAAAGGCTTTGCCACATTCCTCACACTTGCAGAGATTCTCTGCAGAATGAGTTCTTTGATGTTGCTTGAGCAATGAAGGGAAATAAAATGCTTTTGCACACTCCTCACACTTGTAGGGCTTTTCTCCAGAGTGGATTTTCTTGTGGATATAAAGTGCTGAGCGAGTACTAAAGGCCTTGCTACATTCCTCACATTTGTAGGGTCTCTCTCCTGTATGAATCCTCTGGTGGATAGAAAGTGCCGAGTGAGCGCTAAAGACCTTACCACATTCTTCACATTTGTAGGGCTTCTCCACAGGATGAATTCTCTGGTGTTGAATGAGAACTGAGTTCCAATCAAAGGCCTTGTCAAATTCTTGACATTTATAGGGTGTTCCCCCTAGTGAGTAAAAGTTGAGAGATGAATAAAATCTGAGAAACATTCTTTATAGTTATAGTGCTTATCTTTAATATGGAGATTTACTTAAATTTTATAGACAAATGAGAAGCTACATTTGAAAACCTTTATTTGGTGTAATGAAATTCAGAAAGCACTGTAGATGGAAATAATAAACTTCTACTGAAAGATGAAGACAAGAAAGAATATAAAAATGAAATATTGAACATATTATCCACAGTTAAATGGCTAAGGAAGTTGTACCATCAACAATAATAAAAACTTCCTAAGGACATATACTAAGAGAAATAATTCCACCAGACAAACTGACCAGACATGAAGATACAGTGTATCTATGCTGTGTAGTCTCTGTTACTCTGATAAAATCTGATCAAGGCCACTCACAGAGAGAAGACTTGACTTAGATTTACGGCTCCAGAAAAGCATGAGTCTGTCATGGAGGACCATTTGGAAGCAAACAGCAGGCAGGGGGGCTGGAGCCAAACCTCCAGCTCATACTGCGCCCAGACCAAGAAGCAGAACAAACTAGCAGTAGAGGGAGGATTTTAACATAGCTCCTAGTTATGTGCTGAATCCAGCAAGGCTGCACCATCAACTGGGGACCAAGTATTCAAATACAGGAATCCCATTCGACTACAGGAGACTAAACTGAGTATCTGGATGTTGATTTTAATGGTCTTAAATTAAATGGATGTAGAGTCACACAGTTTTAATCTTAAGAACAGAGTTTTGGAAGTTTGAAAAGATTCATTTCCTCGGAAGTTCACCATCTATAACACTGTGAAAGAATGGACTTCAAGTTATGAAGACAGTATGTTATGTTACATTTTCATAACAAGGAAATAAATTCCTAATATAGACTTGTGAAAAACTTTGAAATTCATGTATAAATGACAGACTTTTGCTAAAGGCAACATTATTGTCAATGAGTATATCATAAAGCTAGCCTATTTGGATTCATTCACGAGATAAAACAATTGAATAACAAAATATATAAGACATGAAAACGTGAGATTCATATTTACCCATGAAATGGACATATACAGTACTGATGTTCACAGAGCTAATGCATGTGTGTGTGTGTGTGTGTGTGTGTGTATGCACTGTCCAGAAGTGCTTAGCATTGGACATTCAACTTACAGAAATATATTGGCTGCACATAAAGAAATAATTTAAGGAAATAATACAGTAACACAGAAAATAGAACAACAAAATAAGAGAAAGATAAATGAGTGAACAAAATTCTAAAAATCTATTGTCATTAAAAATAGGCTTCTAGAGGTGTAGATTTTGTTATACCCATGAAGGGAATGCATTTCAAATTGACACAGAAGGAGATTCTTAAACTTTGTAATTAACAAGTATATACATGACATGGAGGAAATTCATGTTTAAAGTTGTCTTTTGAAGTGCACGGGAATTTTCAGATGGGTGGAAAACAGTAAAAAGGCAGTTACATATAAACCCAGCAAAATTAAGAACTCTGACTACTGTAAATATAAAAAGAATCACTGGAGAGGAAGACCAAAGCTTAGAGATGTAAACCACACATACATCTGGCAGATGCCCTTCTGTGAGAGCAACAGACACAGGAGATTCTTAGAAAATGATGGCACCAGAACCCTGTGTCTCAATGCTCAAGATGAAGCCTGGCTTTTGGTTGGATCTCTGGCCTCTCACTCTGGCCTCTGTCCCCTCATCCCCACACACCTGGGTGCAAGGTCGCAGCTGCTTGTCTTTTCACATCTGAAGGCCCTGGCCTTTGCTCTAGAAATGTGACCAGGTATGGCTTACAGGAAGCAAGACCTATATGGGGGGAAAGGTAAACATCAATGTTAGTGTTTTCCAACCGAAATTAGCAACCTCTTCCATTGTAAGTTTGTAAGAAAAGATTAAAGAATTGTAGAAAATTAGTTCAATAAATGTTTCCTGAGAAAAACATGTAAAATATGTAGAAGTAATTTATAATTCAAGGATCCTTAGTATCATTTACAAAGTATATAGGAAAGCGGAAGAATGAAACAGTTTCTTTAACATGTATGCTCCATACCGCACAATACTGAGTTTATAGAATTACAGCAAGAATGAAGAAAGCATATTAAAAAAACAAATAAACAAAACTATCATAAGGCCACATTAAAAACACAAGAAGAAATACAGTAAAATATTTCTAGAAATATCACCAATCTCCCTCATTTTTTCATAAAAGCAGGTATATAAAAGTTACTGCTGGAGAGAACAAATACCAATAGAATGTTCTACAAAGGGAGGAAATTACATGTTGGTTATGCAATAAGAGTTCACTTATACATGCAATCCTCACCCAGAAACACCAGGTTGCTGTAATTTTCCAACATCACATCCCTGTACAGATTCCACTGAGCAAGGTCCAAGCATTCCCATTCCTCTGCAGAGAAATCAATGGCCACATCCCTGAATGATAGCATTTCCTGGAATAAAAATAAATGATTACTATACATCTGAAAACCATTATAATAACATAAAACACCAGCATCATGTGGTTGTGTATACAACTCTAAATTTTGCTGAGGATAAGACAAAAGCTGGAAGTGCTTCAGGCATAGGTATGTAACTGCTGTGGAATAATCTTTTAGTACACTGTGAAGATTTGTCACTTGGATTGGTTTAATAAAACAATGAAGGGCAGGAGGATGCTGGGAAGAAGATGGGTGGAGTCTTGGGATTCTGGAGACAGACTCGGAAGAAAAACCATGGAAGTTCATAGATGAGATAAATAAGCCCTGGGCAGCACATAGATTAAAAGAAATGGGTGAATTTAAGTTGTAGGAACTGGCTGAAGTCAAGGTTAAGCTATTGGCTGAACATTTATAATTAATAATAAGTCTCAGTCTCATTATTTGGGAGTGGCTGCTGGGACACAGAGAAACACTGCCTACAAGTAACATTCCTAAGATACTTCTGATATGATCATATGAACTCATCTTTGGTCTCACAAGGGTCACCCTTGACCCATCTTCAAGCAAAGAGAATGAAGAGATCCTATTATCTCATATGGATATTGGACATTTAGGGAAAAAAATGGAGTGTATTACATTTGTCTTAGGCTTATTCTATATACCACAGAGATACATTTCTCAGAGGAGATTATATTTGTGCTATGCTTGTTTAATACACCAGACACAGATGCACAGAAGAAAGTCATAGTGGGGGATAAGGTACTTATCAACCCTTAATATGCACAATCATGAATGTGAGATGTAATGAAAATGAAGATTCCAACATAGCAGCTCTGGTACAGGTCTGGATGACTGAATTTGTGCGGAGTTCAGTAGTGATTCTATTGCCAGCACACCAAGAGACGTGGGATGGAGCAGTCCTGAGGTATAACAGTAATGGAGGCACTCACAACCAAGACGAAATCAAAAGTATTTCAACAGATTACAAATTAGTAAGTGTAATAATAACATTTAAAGATTTAAAATACACTAGAGAGCACTCTAACTTGTCCCATTTCCTTTTACCTCTCTTTTTATGTTTTTCTTTTACAGAGAGCTATTTGTCCATTCACTAAAATCCTACAGCAGGCTTTAGGCTACGCCTATGATAGCTATGCCTTGGTAACTGGAGGTCAAGGATTATAATTTGGGATAATTGCTATTAATTTCTCCTAAAAAATTTAGCTCAAGCTCTTTTCCAAGGCTCATTGTCTTCCCATAATTTTTTAATTTCATCAGCAGTAAAAGGCACTATAATCTTAGCTGGGTCTATTCCTGCTAGTTGATGAAATCTCTACTTCCCTTTAATAGTTAATTCAGAGACTTTTTCCACATAAGTTTTTAATTTTTTACTTGGTTTATGTAGTAAGAAGATCCATTCTAAGATAATATCTTCCCTTTGCATTAAAATTCCTGTAGGGGAAATTCTAGAAGGCAATATGACTAGAATACAATTAACATTTAGATTCACTCTATCTACATGTGCCTCCTGTAATTTCTCTTCAAAAACCATCAATTCTTTTTCCACTTCAGCTGTTAATTCCCTGGAACTACTTAGATTCTTCCCTGAATTGTACATGACACACCAATAACTGGAGCCCGTACATTTTGTACTAATGCAAATAGATCAAAAAGGGCAGGTTACAAATCAGATGAATTAAGTAAGGTGGAACAAAGCCCTTATAATTCTGTCCAAAAGGAAGAATTATATGTTATTCTCATTGTACTAAGGGATGTTTTTAAAGAACCTCTCAATATAGTTACAGATTTGCAATATGCAAAAAGAATTGTCTTACATATTGAAACCACTGAATTTATACCAGATGATACAGCATTCACTTCATTATTCATATAGGTTCAAGATATAAACAGGAATAGGTTTTGTTCCATATACATAAGATACATCCAATCCCATATGGGTCTGCCAGGTCTTCTAGTACAAGGTAATGCAGAAACTGATTGATTATTGATTGGAAGTGGACTCAAGGCCTCAGAATTTTATAAGAAACATCATGTTAATAGTAAAGGTTTAAAGAGTTTTTTATTACATGGCAACAAGCTAAGGAGATTATAAAGAGATGTCCTACTTGCTCTTTCTATAACCAAACACCACTACCTGCAGGGAATAACCCAAAGGGTACTCAAAGGAATAAAATCTGGCAGATAAATGTGTTCCACTTTACAGAATTTGGAAAATTAAAATATGTACACCACACCATTGACACTTATTCAGGTTTTCAATGGGCAACTGCCTTGAGATCAGGAAAGGCTGATTCAGTAATCATGTATTTATTAGAAATTATGGCCATCATGGGTATACCTCCACAAATAAAGACAGATAATGGTTCAGAAAATGTTACTAAGAATATGGAACAGTTTTTTGCTTATTATAATATAAAGCATATTACAGGTATACTCACACAACCCTACAGGTCAAGCAGTTATAGAAAGATCAAATTGAACTATAAAGGATATGTTACACAAACAGAAAGGGATGGAAAATATCCCTAGAAATAGATAACATAATCCTTTATTAATCTTGAATTTTCTTAACACTAATGAGAAAGGAACAACAGCAGCAGAAAGACACTGGATAATAGAAAAAAGCTTCTAAATTAAATCAGCTAGTATATTTCAAGAATGTGTTGACCTCACAATTGAAATCAGGAGATATGCTATGTTGGGGAAGAGGTTTTGCTATTGTCTTCACAGGAGAAGAAAACGTATAGATACCATCAAAATTAATAAAGATTCGCTTTGAAAAACAGAAACCTCTTGAGAAATAGAAATAACAGCTCATCCACAGAGGTGACACTCATACAGGTGGTAAGAAAACCTCATAAGGGTCGGGACAGGGTTCTGTTCTTGTCTTTGCAAGAAAATACTCATCTTCAAAAAGAGTCAAGAGACCTTGGACATCTAGATGCCTAAAGATGAAAATATAATTATCCAGAAAGAATCAACAAACAAAGAAAAAAACTGACTTATGATGCTGTACAATCTGCATGGTATAATTTGATTATCTGCACATGTATATATCTCTAATTAAAAATCAGAACTGGCTTTGGAGTTGAATGGTGGTTCTATCCTTCTCTAAATCCAAGTATGTTGTTAACAACAACAACAAAAAAATTCAGAATTCCTGTCTCATGTCAGGAGCCATCTGTTAAGGGACAGAAAGAAGATAGATTTTAAGAAAAGATTTTACTTTTTTCCATGCCCATTTTGTCTATATCATATCTTTTGTTGAATATATGTCTACATGAATTATGTTTAAGTTTTTAACAATGAACAGTAGATTTTCCTGCATTAATCTTCGAAGCTTCCAGGAGGAAGATGGGGTCCCACCATAATGACTCCACCTGGTCGATATGACATCATGGTGCTGATAGTGCTACTATGAGACTGTTTTTTGGGCACTAGATGTGAAAATGGTGCACCTTTTTACAATGTTCTGGCCAGAACTCCAAGTAAGAACTTCAAACAAACAAACAAGTAAACAAAGAAAAATATCCTATGGACTACTCAGAGACCATTTGCAATTATACAAAACAGCAATCTTGAAACTTAACCATCATTTTACTTTTACAGGATCCCATAGGAAGAACATTTCCCCCATGATAGCTGGAAGCAACTCTAGAAGACAATGTCCCCTCTCCCAACAAAGTTTGTCCTGAGGGTTAGGGACACCATTTCAGGGTTGATTATTACTCATATAGGGTTGAGGTGGAAATTACGTAGGCCCAGAGACAAAACAAAAAGAGGGAAAATTGAATGGGATAATAGGTAATTTAGCATGAACTTATTCACACTACTACTACTACTAATAACAGTGAGTAATAGAGTGAATACTTGTGAGCTACTATTTATGGACAATTTACATTTGCATAGATTTTTGTATTGATATAAGTTCATATTATATTTGTTATATTGAATATGCTATTTCTGCTTACAATATTTGTACACTTATACAAAGTTATTTTGTCAGATTGTATGCATGTATGTTTCTACCTCTATTTAAGACATTTTGTATATTGATACAATTTTAGAATATATTTATCATATTGCACTATATATTTCTACCTCTGAACAAGATATTTGTACATTGTTTACATTTTGAGGTCATTTTCCTCTTTTACTGCACAGTTTTTCAGAGATTGTTTAATATTCTGATATGAAGTCCTAATCTTTAAGTTATATAGGTATTAAGTATTATAGGTCAATAGTCTTTCGTGTTTGTTACACTTTTAGTCAGACTAATTAGGTTCTTTAGATACATAGAGATTGTATTCTGCATAGATAGGTAACCTTAAACCACTTCAAAGATCTGTAGAACATTGCATTTAAATAACTTAGGATTCTGTTGACAAGAGACATGATTGCTCCTGACAGCACCAATCTATTCCTGAGTGTTGAGCTCCAAAGACACTCCACTTGGAGTTTATTTTCTTCTTGGTATAAGTGACTTTTGGGCAAGGAACTGCCCATGCCTCGACCACAGACAAAATACATGATGTCCAGATTGGACAAGCAGGATACAAGAAAAAAGACTGCCAAACCTTGCCAAGACGGGGTAAGATGGTTCTGAAATTTTTCCTTCCTCTGAAAATGGTCTGCCAGTTACTCTAGGTCTTAGCCAAACTTGGTTGCTTCAACATTGCAAATAGACTTTGGGTAACTGCAAGGGCAGCCAGTTGTCTCTGTCATCTATCGCACAATTTAGAAGCTGCTTGATTGGACTTCCTGACTACTCAAGTAATATTACCTCCCTTCTCAGGCCTTTGATAGGGTTGAAGATTAGATAGTTGTAGTTACTGTCCTTTTAGGATGGGAAGGGGCAATGATTGACATCTCAGATTAGATATTTAAGGAGCACAAATATGAACAGATCAGAGGAAACCAGAAGAGAACACTATGAGGTCCTGACAGAAACTAATACAAATCAATAATTAAAGATAATGAACATTCCCTGCAAATATGGAGGAATATTTAAGCAAGGCAAAGAATAGAATCCTCCCTCATACAGTAAATGAAAACAATAATCTAATCACCAAGATTTAATGTCTTTAACTAAAGCATGCATTTTTTTGGAGATTTTAAAATTACACCTCAAATACAGCCAATTGACCTTCTCAAGTATACATCTTGAATGTCACTGTCAATTAGACAGATTTCTGTCTGTCATTGTTAAGCCAAGCCATAGGAACCATAAACTGTACATTGATAAACTACATCTTAAACTTTTTTTGACATAGAATCTCATTTAGCATAAGTTGGTCTTGGGTAATCTATGATATAGAAGATGACCTTTAAGTGCTAATTTCCTGGCTTCACAATGCAGAGAGGACAAGAACGCACAAACAGCAGGCTTTAGGTTTTTTGTTTGTTTGCCTGCTTGTTTGCTTGTTTGGTTTGTTTTCAATCACAAGTGTGTTTAAATTACGTATACCTTAAGGGTCTTAAGCCATGAGAGCATACTGCTGTATCATTCCTACTTTGTAGGAAAACAGTTTTGATGCACCAACAGTGTACTCTTCCCACTTTAAATAATGTGAAACACAAAGCAATTCTTGTCCTGTCGGCGAGCAACATTAACAAGGACTTCACTTACAGTCAACAGAAATATTAGGATTGAAGATATGATATGTTAAAGTCCAAGCTTCTTTTTAGTAGACTTTAATGCCACATAAACTTGGTTTGACTTTAAGTGCTCTGAACTATGAAACCATACAAAAGATGAGCTGGGGAGTCCACTATGTACAGATCAAAGAACCTGAGTGAGCAACAGGTCTTCAAATTCACCTTTCAGTCTTTCTGATACTGAATGAAGACTTCTGACATCACAGTCTCTGACATAACTGGATGAGGCCCTATTCTCCAGGTTTTCACTCTGCAATACGGGATCGATAATGGCTTGAGCGATGCAAAGCTCAAACCTTCTCCTCGAGGACATTATGCTGTCCCTATATGGGAATGTTAAGCCTGAGGATTCTGATCACAGAGGTGACCACAAAGGATTCTCCTTCAAAACAACAGTCCAGAAATCTAATAATTTATTCAAAGGAAATTGGACTAACACCCTGTACACCAATCTCCTTAACAGAACTCTGTCCCTGTAAACTTCCATCAACTCACACCAAGAGTATTAGGACGGCCATAAAATACAGGAGGGGCCTGATCTCCACTTGTTCCAGAAGTCCGGAGGAATCGGAGCACAGTCAAGTGAGAGTGGGTTAGCTAGGGAGAGCACGTTTCCCCAGACAAGCTGGACGTGGGCTCCTATAACAACACCTCGAGTGCAGGCGGTGCGCTGGGCAACCCTGACGGGAGGCAACCGTGCACCTTCCACCATTCCACACTCTGGGCTACAGAGTCAGCTCTCCCACCCCAGAAGCGCACACTGGACTCTGGCAGCCGCGTCCTAACAAAGCTTTGACTCACAGCTCCACCCCCACATCGTCTTCCCACCCCAGACCTGCATCCAGGCTCACTGGCCCAGCCCAGGTCAGCACAGCATCTCCGAGTCCGCTTCTCTCTCCGCCTCTGGCCAGCCCCAGCTCCGCACCCTCCAAGCCCAGCCACCCACCCGCACAGTCAGTCCCTCCGGCTGCGCTGCTCCCTGGACCAACCTCCATGTCCGACATCCGACCGAGAGCGAGGAGCACAACCCAACACCACCGAACTTAGGAGGAGGACAAACGTCTGCAGACGGGATGCGGAAGTGTGGCTCGCGGAGCGGCTGCTGTGACGTCGCAGCGAACCCGACTACATTTCCCAGGATTCTGTGTTCACCCCACAGTCCGCAGGAGAGGATGAATGGAAACGAGTCTTTTCCCCACCAAGTGCAGACTGGCAAGCTGCTTTTAAAGTCCAATTGGAAACAGGACGTGTTGGAACGTCAGTTGAGACTTCTTCAGGAAAGTTTATTAGTTATATCTGATCAAACCGTCGTTCAAAAGTCGTCTACTAATTATAAAGTCTTACTACCCTCACAGAGAGGTGGCTTTCACTTAATTGTACTTTAACGAAGAAGAGGCTGTCACTTGAAGATGTCACTTGAAGATGACTTTCGAAATTAACCGTGGTCTCCTCTTTTTTCATCCGGCTTAAGAGGAAAGGTTTACAAAGCCAAGGCGGCCTAAGCAATTTATAGAGGCCTTGTTTTAAAGTAAAAAAAGGAAAAAAAAAAGAAAAGAAAAGAAAGAAAGAGAAAGCAAGCAAGCAAGCAGAGTATCTTGGGGGTAAAGTAAATGCTTAGAATGAAGGGATTAATGCTCTGTGTTCCCCTGTGTTGATAAACCTGGTGAGCCTTACATATATTGACTTCCCAGCTAGAAAAACAGTTGTCCTGAGAACACTGGAATCCATACCGTGAAGGAGGTAAGTCGTTAAACGTAGACGTTAAGGAAAAAAAAAAATCACCGAACAGGTTAAAAGTCCTACCCTGACATTTACTTGTAAAGATCTTCCAAAATCCATGGAGGATCTTTCAGTTTGTCCCTAGGACCTTTGTCTATAGTTCCGTCCATTAATCTATATCAGAGCAGAACTTTTATGAGAGCTGTAACTTCACCTGTTCCAGAACTTCACCCAGTTCTTCCTGGTTCACCGCAAGCTCAGGGAAGTAGCCACCAGCAACTGTTCTCTGTGCTGTGGGTAGCTCCTCTGCTGCTCTCCCAAGTAGAAAGACACGGTTCCTAATGGCACAGTGGTGTGTGTTCCAGTTCAACACCTGGCCAGTCAACCGCTGTAGAATTTCTCTCTGCATTCGGCACGGGCTATCTGATTCATTGTCTTCTGTTGTGGGATATTTGTAAACTGTATGAAGGTGCACTGCTGTGATTCGGTGAAATAAAGCGGTTAGAACAGTCAGTAGCTAGGCAGGAGGTTTAGAAGGGACTTCTGAGCAGAGAGGAAGTAGGATGTGATAATTCAGGCCCAGAGAGATACCAACAAGACTTGGAGGGAGTTGGGCATACAGAGTTAAAGAAAGGTTAAAAAAAAAAACTAGGCAAAATGTAAATTAATATAAATGGGTTGAATTAAGTTTTAAGAGATAGTAGGAACTAAGCTAAGGCCGAGGTTTCATAATTAATAATAAGTCTCCATATCATTGTTTGGAAGCTGGCAACCCAAAACAAAATCCAACTACAGTCTTCTTTGATTCTGGAGTTGCTTCTGTCTGGCAGAATTTTGAAGGCTGGGTATCAGAAATACAATCAGGGGAATACTAGGTTTGCTTATTGGAATACAGAAGCTGATTTGGCACCAAGGAGTAATGAGACCCGCCTCTCTTGTCTCAACAATATTTATTCCTGTGCTCATCATGCCTTATAGCAAAGTGCAAGCCTCTATTGGTGTGAGAAGTCCTTCTGTATATGTGTTGCTTTTACTTGTTAGTGAATAAACCTGTTTCGACCAGGGGTTTAGCAGAGTAGAGTAGAGCAGGAATTCCAAGCAGAAATTGAGGGGAAAGAAGGCAGAGTCAGGGAGAAGCCATGTAGCGCTTGCAGGAGACACATGCACCAGAACCTTGCCAGTAAACCACAGCCATGTAGCAATATCAGATTAATAGAAATGGGTTAATTTAAGATATAAGAATTAGACAGAAATACCCTTAAGCTATTGGCTAAACAGTATTGCAATTAATACAGATTTCTGCGTGATTATTTTGGGAGTGTAGGTGGCCTGGAAATGAACAAGCAGCCTCCAGCTACTCTCTATACAATGGGAAAGTTCAGATAGTATTTCACAAAGAAGCTATTTTTGAGTGGATACAGTAGGCTCTTACTGTTATAATTATTTTTGTTTCATTTCTATAAGGAACTCTTGTCTCTTTTCTTTTTTTTCTCCTTCCTTGCAATGTTTAAGCATGAGTTTTTAATAACTATTTAGTTACTTGAATGCCAGCATTTGTATAGTACTAGGCAAGCAGAGACTGAAGATCCTAGTCTGTATGATAAAAATGAAGACAGTTCTTACAAAATGGTGTTATAATTCCATAAGGTCTAAGGATAAATAGTGTACACAGGCCCTTAGTAATGAAAATCGCAGTCAGAAAACTAGCTGTCATTTTTGGTTTATAGTAAGTTGACAAATTAGTATAGCTTCTAAAAATGAAAGATGTAAGTCTCACACCTAACTCTGTGATAACTATGATAACTCAATGGGGCACTGGCTGAGAATCATCATTATGATCCAGCGTACATGCTGCAGGACATTTTTACTTGCAGCAGCAGTCATTTTGGCACACAACTGGAATGCATAACATCCATGAGGAACGCCACATTTTCTAAAGATTTGAATGGGCGATTCTGCAGCCCAAAATATTGAATTAAATGAAAATAAATTCAACATGTGTTAAATAATTATTCAGAACTATAATTTTTCTTTTGTTTTGAGAAAAAGTGAGCCTCAGCCTCCCTGTGTAGGTCAGTGTAACACCGTGTCACCTTCTACTTCCTGCTGCTACTGCCTGAGAGCTGGGAGTGGTCAGCATCACCACACCTTCTATATGTCTTTCTTTCCTTGTGGCTTTGCTAAGGTATCTGAAAAGTCATAAAGAATAAATGTTTACGTCACCTAACAGTTTGAGGATGATGAAAGGAATGTCTGAAAGTGTGAGTGTGGGTGACATTGCGTCCCAAGCGAGACAGCAGAGTGCGGAGCACTACCGCTCACACAGGTTCCTTTCTGATGTTCTTCATTCAGTCTGCGCTCCCAGTCTACGCGATGATGTTGTCCATATGTAGAGTTGGTCATCATTACCCAACTCAATCTAGAAACTTCTTCACAAACATGTCCTGAGCTTGGTTTCCATGGTGACCCTGAACTCCATATAACTGACTATTCAGATGAACCATTACAACTTCACCTTTTCTCAACTTGACACCTACATACCTCACCTTAAGCCATAACCATCTACCTTGGTAACCTCGGGTTCACTTTTATCTCTTACTAGGAAAGGCATTTAGTCCATCTCCAAATGTCTCCACAGAGTCCCGCTCCAGTCAAACTCCAAAGTCTTTTGACTTTAAAATTCAAACAACTGTTTATTCCACCATGTTGACAAGATTACTATTTCAATATACAATGGCACAATGGTAATGGGCCCATTTTCCATAGACATGCAGCAAGGATGGGGCTAAAAGAGAAACCCACTGGGGCAAATACAAGTTCTACAGCTTCATATACATAGCATCTGAGGTTCCTGATAGAATAATCTGAACTCCAAAGGACCTGACCCATACTAACTTTCCACTGCTACGCCTTGAAGCACATATGTTCCCTCCCTAGTGTCAGCGCCTCTCCTTACATGCAGATTTGCTCAGTGGACAGCCTGTGGCTCTGGCTTTTCCAACATAGTATGATTGCAATTTAATTTAGTGGTCACCTTCAACTGTTGTATGCAGTAACCACACATAAACTCTTTCGAAGGGACACTGAACTCCCCACAGATTGCCTGGCCCAGCAGGTTGATGTAATAATGGTCTACAGCTCAATGGCTTCCTTGGTGTTGCGTGATAAATTCTTGCAAAACTGACAGCATGTGGGCAATGCTGCCGGCTATCTTTTGGATGCTGTCTGACCCCTAGGTCAAAGTTCCAATTTTCTTTGTTTGCTGACCCTGAAGAAACTTTTCCCAGAAGAGCGGTTTTAAGCAAGGAACTCCTTAACATTGGACTTTCAGATGAGTTTGTACTTTCATAAGTTAGTCTTTCATGGATGTGGTCTAGGCTTTAGGACACCTTTCCTGTTGCCTCAGTATGGAGAGCTAGGTTTACCCACTTGGAGCTAATAATTTCAATAATTACCTAGGATTTCAAATTGTCTTGTCTGTACCTTGAATCAAATGTAGCAGCAGAAGTAAAATGCCTACTGACCTTAGGAAAGAACTCAAGATAGCTGCATTCCTGCTGCTCACTGTATATATGTCTTGCAGGCAGCTTCACTGGTGAGAGGATCTCCTCTCCTATAGTGTTTACTGTGTGTACAATATATATTCTACATACACAATCAGGGAGCAGACATGTGAATCTTGTAAATATCTAGTATTTCCAGATTTCTATCAGCAGTTGCTCATTTTCCAAATCTTAATGAGCCTTCCTCCAGTAATTTCACTTTAAAAGGAAGGGTCACATAACACGCTCAGATTTATCTTGCCCACCAACAAATTTTCATACCTTTCTTCTTAGCCTTTTGCTGTTTTTCATTGTAGATGTATACGAGGGCAGTAAGCACGAGCCGTGTGATTGCCTGATTACTACTACTTGTCTGTATTGAAATTTCCTCAGTACCTTCGAATTAAGCCTCACTTAATTCTTAAACATGGGCAGAATGAAGGCAAATTCTTTGCCTGAGTATAACACAAATGGGAATCACTCAAGTTTCAGATAAAGTCCTTTCCTTCTTAGCCAGGTTGCCAATGTCCATCTGTTTGAAGGCAGTGCTATCTTTGAAACTCTCAGGCAAGTGTATCATTAACTAATGGTTTCTGAGCCCTAAAGATTACCAATCCAAAAAGATCCAAATCCTGAAAACCAGTTTAAGGCTTATTAATGACCTAGCAATATCCTACCTTCTAGGTATCAACTTTCCACAATTTTTACTTTCCTTGTTTCCATGATAATGTTACCAAAGTAAATCGAGGTAAAGTTTATTCAGTTTGGAGCATAACTTGAAGGCACAGCCTACCAGAGTGAGGAGGGCAAGGAAACCAAGATCAGAAGCTGTTGGTCACATCGAATCTCCTCTTG